CCACATTTGCTATGGCAGTGTATTTAATATACAGTCACAGAGCTGGGCATGATCTGTGTTAATGGGATTGTGCAAGTTACTGGGAGAGACTGACCCCTTTGTGCATCAGTCCTAGGCCTCAGCATTAGATCTATGTACTTGGGAAGGCAGCAGCCTCCCAGCACTAGACTAGCACTAACAGTACCTCCTTGGGCCCTTTGCTGTATGTGATTAATTTTTCTCATTAAGCACTGAAGCTGTTTTCTAGTCCTTAAGCTACAAGTCTCATATTCCACCACTATATTTGGCATGTCCCTGTGACCCAGCAAAGTCAGCTTTGCTCCAGGGGCAAGACTGCAAAACCCATCTTGGACAATTTGGCTGAAAATACTGAAATTGCCTGCCACATGACAACAGTCAACTTGCCAGCATAGGTATCTGTCTTTGCATGGCCAGAAAATATTGCTATGGGTGAGAGCCTGTATTTCACATTTCATTGTCTTTATCCCTAAGTTTAGATTCTCTTAGCTGCTTGCAAGGTACTCTTTTGAAACTGTGATATTAATCTACGCAGCACATCCCAGATTGTTATCTCTGATCCACCTTGGTCACTGAGGCCCCAGTAAATTATCTGTGAAACCTCACCTGCCTTGCCAGTGTCTCCAGTTAAAACCTCGGTGTGTTCAGGTAAGGAGAGCCTTTGCTTCATGTTCTTGAATGCATGGAGTAACCTTTCTGTGAAGGAAAAAGAGCATCAAGCAGCTGTTTGGCAATGCGTGTTTGAAACTTGATCTTATTATTTATAAACTAGGGTTTAACCTTTTAAAATATTTATTATTATTATGTCTCAGCAGTAAAATAACATCACAGTTCTTGCAGATGTACTTTTTCTTTGCATTTGGGTTTACCTCTCACTGCTTTAAGGAAAACTTGCTTATATTTGCTGTTCCAAGGTGTCATTTGTCTCACCAAAACAGCCAAACTCTGAAACGTGAACTCAATTCTTTTCTGGCTTGTGCTTTTAGTGTTAAAAAAAAAAAAAAAGACGTGGTTAATCAGTGGCCTATCTTCAGAGAAAGCCTTGTAGGGACTGGCTTCAGATAATAGTATCACTTACACTTGTGCAATTGATAATATCAGAACTCCTTTCAGGCAACTCTGAATATCATTTGAGATCTATGAGTTGTGACTGGAAGCAGTGCTTGGACCATGAAACACTATGTGTGTAAGGAGAATGTAGGTTCATCATCAAATCCCAAACTGAGATCACAGGGACCGACAGTAAATGAAGGAAAAAGAAAACTTTTATTTGAAACAGAGAGGAAAACCTCTCAGAAGTCACGAAGGCACAGGCAAAGAAACTGTCTTTCTTTAAGTAGGACTGTAATTTAAGTCCTGAAGAGCTACATTTGGCTCCTTTAGCAAGATTACGAAGTACCTTATTAGAAACACAATGTATTGTAAAGTAGTTCTTAGGAGCCTTTGGACGGCCAAGCCTTCAAGGGTTTGTTATATGGTACACCACCAAATGTACAAAGAAATAAAGTAATGATTATGGAAAAGAATATATACTCCTAAACTCTCTGAAATCAGTTCCAATTCCCAGTTCTGTCCTTCACCTGTTTTAGACAAAACTTTGGCTGTTAACCACAAGAGTAATGCACCTCAATCAAATGACTGTTCATGATTTTTGGTATGTGTCCTGTGTTACAGCCGTATCAGCCCTTTAAAAAGGGCCCTTGGTATTGGGCCTGACTTCTTCTGTCCAGTGACCAGACAAACACCAGTAGTAACTAACAGCAGCAAACAAAGAGTTTCTATATTCCTGATAAACAAGTGAAATATAAATGGAGGAACTGAGCGAGACTGATTCTGTATACCTTCTCAGCCAGAAGCACAGATTAGGGTGGGCAGCTATTGCAGCACTGGATGCACAGGTATGTTTTACTTGAAGAAATACAACACAAGCTTGGAACAAAATCATTGCTGCTGCAGGTTATTGTAGCTGCGACATATTGCAGCCCATGGGACACAGACTGTGTGTTTCCCTCTTGTCACTTGTAAAAGTTCCTGTTGCATTTTCTGCTGATGACTTCTGGTTCCTACAGCTTCCTTTTTCCTTGTGGAAATAGCAGTGCAGTGGGAACAGTAGGTTGCTTGTAGGTTGCTGTGGGTTCCTTGGGGAAGAGCAGCTGGGAGGGAAGGGGCAGCTTGTCCCCAGCAGCTGGCTCCCTAGGCCTCACTGTGTTTCCCTACTCCAGCCTGTGGTAATGCTGGAGCTAAACGAGGCTGTGAAGCATAGCAAGGATTTCCTATAGCAGTTGTGTCTCCTGTGATGTCACTGGGCCAAGTCATTAATGGATTAGGGGAAAATAATCTTTATTCTTAATAAAAGCCTCCTTGCATTTTAATCTGATTTAATTGTGTTCACATTGAAAGACAGTGGATGTTCCCTTGCTTTGGTCCACAGCAATAAGTCTGAGACAAGACAGTAAGTTACATTAAGAGGGTTCCTGTTCAAAAATTCAGTGTATTCCCTAAGAACAATACAACATGTCTGCCATGACAGGGGCAAAACAGAAAGGTTTCTAACAGAAAAGGGTAACAGGAAAATTATCAACAAAGGGACAACTGAAAGAAGTGGACATAAAGTTTGGAAATAGTAATATGGAAGGTCTGGTATACCCTTCTGAATGAGATTTCAATCAAAGAAATTTGGAAACAACCCTAATTCTAACCCTTTGTTTTATGAACATAGATTTTACTTCTGTGTTCTATAGCATTCTGAATCATCAGATATGCTGCTACAGTTGTCAGCTTAACAGGTCTCTTCATCCATGCATCCTTCTACCTATGCCTCTCCCACAACCAACTTGCTCTTTGAACTTCAGTGCCAGCTTAACCTGGTGAAAACAGGCTTAAGTTCTTGGAGAATTCAGAGCAGAAATGTCTTTCTGGTGCTTTTATATGCTATTTGGCAGAGAAGCCCATTGAAGAATTGGAGCCCTAATAGTACTCAGAAAACAGGCATAAAAATCTTTCCTCTCTTCCATATAGTTTTGTCAGCTTTCTGCAGCTTTTTGTTTCCATCACAGCTCACCTGTGTAGAGAACATTCTCCGCAAAGATTGGAAGTGAAGACTTTTACTTACAAGTATAACATCACAGTGCTGCTCAGAAAAGGAAAGTAAATACACTAAAGATCCTCTGGTCCTCCCCCTACCCCCAAACAACCCTGTGTAACTGATGTTGAGCAGTGCTTCAAACCAGAGAGCTGCTCCAAGGAGCAGGCAGCAACAGGGTATTACCTGGCTGGCTTGTACTGTACAAAGAAAGCTCACAGGGTTTGATAGCACCTGAGGGGTCCAGGGGCGTCTTGAACTGTTAGACTCCCTTCTGGGAGGGGCCAGGAAAGAAGAGCCTTGTGCTGTCAGCCAGTCTCATCTGCAGGAACTGTCGTACCCAGGGCCACTGAGAGGCCTTTTGCCATCCTTAAGTCTTTGCACTCTCACTTGGTAACAACTATTAGCACCTGTTTATCCAGTTCTTTCACTGCCTGTCTGTTTCACACACTGCCAGGTGATAACCCAAATTCCCTATTCACACTCTGATCCAAGCTTGCTTCCCTGTGAATTGCTGTGACAAATTTCTCCTGATAGTCTCAGTACTAGGGAAGATCTCCATCACCAATTTACTACAGAATGAATTCACCCTCTAGAGTTCAAGTAGGATCAGAAGATGCCTTTTGGACATCAGGTTTGCCTGTTGAGGTGAGCAACTGAATCCATCTCAAGGTGGAGAACACAAGTTTTCCTTGCACATGTTCTGAGTACCCCTGAAACCTCCCTCGGTGACGTGCTGCATCTTATCCAGAGAAGCAAAAGAAAGAGAACAGAAAACACCAGGAAGACTGCAGGAACTGCCTGCAGAGCCAGTACTGCCCAGAGGTAAACTCTGGAGAAACAGGCACTGCCAATCTTTTTGGTCCCATGGCAGGATCCACACCAACAAAGCTGACATCCAGAGGAAGGTTCTGAAGGGTGAGGAGGTGGGAAATGAGGCCCAGTCTTTCCAAGATGCTTGTCAACATGTACAGAAAGTTACTTACTGGAATATTCAAAAGCCCTTAGCTGTATAGGTTCCATAAGTGTGCTCTGATACCTGGGCAGTACAGAAGGTACCAAACACTAGGGCAGTTAGAATGACCACTGTGAATATGTGAAAGCAGGGTCAAAATTCCAAAAGCCCCTGTGAAGAAACACCAAGGCGAAATTACATTTTTTTTTATTTCTGCCAGAACAGCTCTGTAAATTCAGCAGTAAGTTTTCAAAGGAGGATCCAGAAATAAAATACCTCTAGTAACTGCATGAGGTGTGATGGGAAGACTACCAAATACTTATATATAATTCTAGTTACTATATCCAAAGGATGATACAGAGCAATCATTTGTATTTATGCTGCTATTAAGGTTGCTGTCCTGCATGGGCAGAACTGAGCAGCCAAACCAGTCCCTTTGTCCCAGTCATGTTGAAGTGGTAGGTTTCTACAAACGCACTTTTATATTTAGTTATGCCTGCTGTAGCCCCATCAAATGTTAGCACTCACCATTTCAGTTACTTCCACTGACAAAGACTTTGAGCTGTTTAATGCACCTAATGCTGATCATTCCTGCCTGGAGTCATGGTGAAATGCATTCACTAGTCACTGCTTTATTAACTCCTGGGGCATTTTGCTAGAGGCTTTCAATGGGCAGAACATCTTTCTTTTTGAGATTAGAAATGATGTGAAATACTTATGAGTTATTAACTTTTTAGCTTTAAATCCATTTGCTTTGACTTTCTAGAGATTTGCTTCAGGGTTGGAGAAGAATGTTTCCAGGTGAGACTGATTTGGTTCAGCTAGTTGAGACAGATGCAGCTCATTTGGGGGTGGGAGGGAGAATGGTGAAGGGAGGATAAAAGGCTTTGAAAGGCAGTGTAGAGTCCTTTCTGTTGGGGAAATTTCTCTAGTCTTCTGTCTTATTAACTGCTTCTGGTTTTCTCCATCTTATTATGCCATCACCTCTTCCTCTTAATTGTTTTCTTTCTTTTGAGTATTCCCCATCTGCACATTTGCGCCCCTGCAGTAGCCCTTTAGTTATCCCTGGCAAAGACAGCAAAAGCTTTTTGGGGGGAACTCCTTCAGTCAGGACTCGCCGCTTGCCTCCACGCCTGGCCTGGTGCTCCATTGACTGGGAGCAACTCTGCCTCCTGCAGCCCATAGGCTCTGGGGGCTTTGGTTCTGTCTACAAAGCTACCTACCATGGTACAACTGTGGCTGTAAAGCAGGTGAAGAAAAGCAGCAAAAACCGGCTGGCATCGCGACAGAGCTTCTGGGCTGAGCTGAACGTAGCCTGGCTACAGCATGATAATGTGGTACGTGTGGTGGCTGCCAGCACGTGTGCCCCGGCCAGTGAGAACAGCCTGGGCACCATCATTATGGAGTATGTGGGCAGCATCACCCTGCACCATGTGATTTATGGCACTGGTGATGCGTGGAGACAGGGTGAAGATGATGAAGGAGGATGTGGAAGGAAGGCCCTGAGCATGGAAGAGACTGTGTGCTATTCTTGTGACATCATGACTGGCTTAGCCTTTCTCCACTCACAGGACATTGTGCACTTGGACCTGAAGCCTGCAAACATCTTCATCACTGAGCAGGGAGTGTGCAAGATTGGAGATTTTGGGTGCTCCCAGAAACTGGAGGAGAGCTTGTCCCACAGCCCCCATGTTTGCCAGCAAGGGGGCACATACACACACCGTGCCCCTGAGCTCCTCAAGGGGGAGAGGGTCACTGCCAAAGCAGACATCTACTCGTTTGCCATCACGCTCTGGCAAATTGTCATGCGGGAGCAGCCCTACCTGGGAGAGCGGCAGTACGTGCTCTATGCTGTGGTAGCCTACAACTTACGCCCTTCGCTGGCTGCTGCTGTTTTCCACGAGTCACCACTGGGCCAGAGACTCCAGAGTATTATTAGCTGCTGCTGGAATGCCAATGTAGAGGAGCGCCTGAGTGCAGCCCAGCTGCTTCCCAGCCTCAGGGCCCTCAAACAGAGTCTCTAGGAAAACTCAGGACACTTCAAATTTATTTTGTCAACTTTTCCTTAACCCTTTCTCTGAACATAATTAATTTAGCCCCTGTGTGTTCTAAAGGTTTTGTTGCTGTTTTTTTATACTAAAAAAAAAAACAACCCCAAACTGTTTTAAGAAGACTATAAATAAAGAGATTTAATAAAACTGTGGGCTTTTACCTTGGGGAGGGAATAGACACAAGGATCAAGACACTGGCAGATACAACTTCTTCAGGCTGATCTGTTGTGTGCTGTCTTGCTCAGGGAGAAACTGGAGAATGTGATGTGCAAAAAAAAATAGTTGGTTTTAAGTAAGTGAAGTACAAAAAAAGGGGCTAAGGAGCTTTTGGAAGGTTCTTTATATATAATACCTTTTGGTATTTTCAAAATGTCAGATATGAGTAGTTCTTCACTAACTAGGGTTGTGCATTTGAGCTTTTCCTCTCCATTTTCCAAGGAATGAGTAGGTATCGCAAATCAATGAATGCAGAAAAATAAATACAGAGTGTCAATGGGGTTTTTTTCCCTTGTTCTTGGATGTACTTAATTCCAGTAAGTATGCTGCTTTTGATATGGAAAATGTGAACTACTATAAGATATACATCTTGAAATAAGGAAACTTTTTGCCAGTCTAAGGCTATTAAGAGTAAGAAGATACATTAACAACCTGTACTTTTATAAGACCTCCCTGCTACGAAGGAGGTGTTAGTTTCAACTTGCTAGCTGGAACACTGCAAACTTTCATATCTGAAGCATTATAAGAGCATCTTGTGCAGAGCAGAAAGTTACCAAGTTTTTGAGGTACAGGGTGAGTTAGAAAAATAAAAAAATTGGGGAAAAAATTATTGGTAAAGGGAGGATTATTTGTGCTTCATAATGCATGGGTCAGTATTAGACAAGATACTGGAAGTACTGTAAAGGAAGTTTGCTTAAAGCAGTAATAATGATGCTCTGCTGGTACTCAAAGTGTTTGCTATTGAACTATCCTCTGCACTGCTTATGTCTTATCTACTATCTTTCCTAATCTGGCTGTAATGTGTCTGGGAAAGGAAGCGCTGTAGGCAATGCAGATGACAAAGAGCTCTGATCCATGATTTATCAGAACTGATAATTGTACATCTGAGCCCTTATCAGAGGCCAACTGCTGTAGCTGATATTGCCATTGTGCTCAAAGACTCTGCTTCTTTTTAAGACAGGAGAAAGAGTGATGTTTCGGTCAAATTGTTTTTCTTCTTTACCCTTCCTCCCCCTTGCTTCCATTCTGGAAAAAAAAATCCCCAAGGAATTGAGCCAGTTTCCTGATTTCTGACACACATCTGTTCTTAGCCCCGTGAAATCCTGGAAATGAGCAACTATGTGAATTTGAGATGATTCTGTAGGTCTTTATGGTATTTGGGTTGGTAATTGAAATTAATGGTTTATAAAGCATATCTAAGCTTAACTATTTCTTGGTCTTCTGTCCCCCTTAAGCAGAACTGTAAAATGCTGGCTGGAATCAAAAAACCTAAGGTGAATCCTGGAAAATATTTCCCATGTTTTCTCTGTCAAAATAATTACGCTATAGAACCAGAACTTTTTTTGTGTGTGTAGCATAACTTATTCTAATAAAGAAGTTATCTTAAAGAAGTTATTATGATAAGTCAGTTACCTTTTGAAATGATTAGCTGAGGGCATCTAAGATAAAATGTTAGATAAAGCCAATTGATGCCTCATCTTAACATCAAGCCTTAAATAAAAGTGCTTCTCCAGTTTTCAAAAGTATATAATAAAAAATGGAATTGAAGTTTGTTAGTAGTCCCTAGATGCTTATGTGTTGTATTTATTTTGCCAATCTAGGTAGCTGGTTGCTTATACTGCTAGAAAACTGCTATTTTTTCCTTAATGATCCTTCAGCATCAACAAGTGCTACTTGAGTCTCTGTGAGAAATCAAGCACCCTTCAAATTCTCTGTTGTACTTGACAGAATGATACTGGATGGCCAAGACCTACTCTTGAAGTATAATCAGCTCTGCAGATGTCTCTGTCAATTTTTCAGGGTTCTCTTTTGATAGCAAGTGAGAGAGAACTCTGTACAGCATTCAAGATGTAGGCACATCATACTCTGCTGTAATAATGATGGTCTCTAGTTTTTAGTAACTTCTAAGGTTTGATTTGTTTTGAGGGTTTTTTGATTGCTATTGAGCTCTGAGTTAATACTAATCAAGAAACATCTCAACCCTAATAGCTCAGAATCCCTGGTTCTATGTGATAAGGATAATTTTGCCTGCTTGCTTCACTTTATATATATATATAAATATATATATATATATACCTTGAATTGCTTTCTGCCAGTTTGTAGTTGGCCCTTGCAATTAATGTCCAAAATAACTCCACTATCAACAAATTTGTTTATCTTATGGCTCACTCTCTCGCACTTCATTTATGGATGTGCTGGGCAGCACAGCATCCCCTGAAACACCAGTGGACACTTTCTCTAGCTGAGAGAACTGACACTTTACCCCTGTGCCTATCTTTTGACTTATCCAGTGCAGGATTTTCTCTCCTAAATGTGGCTGCGTAATACCTTTCAAAAGTTTGCAGTGAAGGATTTTTCAAATACCTTTGGAAACCCTAAGGGAACATATCAATCAGTGCTTTATCTGCATGCTGTCAGTGCTCCTAAAGAATTCTAATACAATCCAACACAATTGTGAAGTGCAACTCCTTCCAGCCAAAGCAATATTGGCTCCTTCTAAACAAATCATGTCTATGTGTCTGTTATTTCCTTTAATATAGGATCTGCTAACGTATCTTATACAGATGTCAATCATGTAATCAGAAAACTTATTTTTTAAAGACTTCCTTGGGATATGATCCTGAAGAGGAGGGGCCAAGGACAGCTGGTTTGTCTTCAAAGATTGCCTTTTACAAGCTCAAGATTCAGTCCCCATAAGCAGGAAATCAGGCAAAGGTGGCAGGATGCCCCGAGGGATAAACAAGGAGCTCCTGATTAAACTCAAATGTAAATAATAAATATGCAAGAGTTGAGAGACCAGTGGGGGGGCTGAAGCAAGGAAGACTTACTGTTGGTAAAGAAGGATGAGGTTAGGGAACATTTAAACAAGACTTACAGAAGTTCAGAGGACCTGATGGGATGCACTCACAAATGCTGACAGAGCTTGCCAATATCATTGTGGGGCAACTCTTGACTACCTTTGAAAGGTCATGTGGTCAGGAGAGATTCCTGAGGTCTGGAAGAAAACAAATCTAACTCATGTCTGCAAGATGGCAAAAAGGAGGATGTAGAAAATTACAAGCCAGTCAGCCTCACCTAAATCCCTGGGAAACTGGTGGAATGCACCATTCTGGAAATCATTGCCAAATAAATGAAGGACAAAAAGGCGTTTGGGGGATCATAGGGGATTTGTCAAGAGGAAATCATGCTTGATCAACCTAGGAGCCTTCTGCAATGAGATTACTGGCTGCTGGAGAGCAGTGGTTGTTGCTTATTTTGACTTTAGTGATGTTTTTGATGCTGTTTCCCATTACATTCTCATAAAGAAACTGATGAAGCACTGACTAGATAGTGGAAACTGAAAATTAGCTGAGCTGCTGGGCTCAGTGTTGTGATCAATGGCATGAAGTCTAGTGGGAGATCAGTCACTAGTGGTGTATCCCAGAGATCAATACTGGACACAGTGCAGGTTAACACCTCCATTAAAGCCTTGGACGATGGGATGGTGTACCCTCCGCAATTTTGCAGTTGATACAGAATTGGATGGAGCAGTCAATACCTTGGATGGTTGTGCTGGTGTTCAGAGAGATCTTACCAAGCTGGAGAAATCCGCTGATGGGAACCGATGCAGGGGGCTGGGGGCCAACCGCTTGGAAAGAAGCTTTGCAGGGACCTGGGACACCAGGTTGAACATGAGCAAGCAATGCGCCCTTGTGGCAAAGGCGGCCAACAGCATCTGTGGTGCACTCCAAAGGGTGTTGCCAGCTCTTCTGGAGCGCTGCTAGAAGAGGTTATTCCCTGCTGTTCACTCAGCCCTGGTGAGACACATGTGGAGCTCTCTGGTCAGCTCAGGGCTCTGCCAGAACAAGAAAGTCATGGCTGTACTGGACCAGGAGTGGAGCAAAGGGCCATTAAGTTGATTACAGGAATTTTATCTTCTGTCTTAATCTTCATGCTCTTACTTAAGGTTCAGTGTCTTTGGTTCCCAAATAGAAATATCAACAGACATTTCAAAATAGGTTTTGAAAAAAGAAGCATAAGCTACAATTCAGATGCTACTCTCTTTATTTGGAGGTGGGGTGGAGTATTGCATGTAAACATACTTGACAATTAAGTGGGGAACCTTTATCTGTTTCTCTTTTACAGAGCTTCTGGCTTCCCATCAACCAGAAGCTTCTGTAACCCTGGTCCTGGCTTGTTCTGTTGTTTGCTCCTCTTTCCTTGGAGGCTTCTTTTTTTTTTTTCAGTATTAAGCTTTATCTCAACCCAGAAAGAAAGTGGTAACAACATCACTATCTTCAAATAATAAAAATACTATGTGACTTGGAGGTGGGCAGGTCCTCAGTACAGAATTAGGATGGGAAGCACAAAAACATAAGTGTGAAGATGTATGGGTTGCTTCTGTATTCTGTGGTAAGATATACCGCAGCAAAGAAAACAAAGACTGTTTTACACAATATAACACAAATATTTGTAAATTCAATGAGAATCAAGTGGATGTTTATTATTTGAATTGTATATCAACTTTTGCAGCATTAGCATTTGTGTTCATGAATTCATCCACTAGAACAAAGATGAAAACAGGGACAGAAAATGAATGGTTATTTTTAAAATTAACTGTATGTGGAAAATTTTACCTATTGTTTATTTTAGCCATTTATCTGCTGCAAATACCTTCATAAAGCACTCAAAGAGCCTCTTTCTATGCTTCAGTTAACCCAGCTGCCAAATATTTGTCTGCCTGTCAAATGAAAAGCCTTAAAACCAGTTAAAGAAGGAAAATGGAACAAAAAAGTCTACTGGCATCTATCCCAGTCTGCCATCAGCTAAAGATGCCATGGGACAGTTTGGCAGTAGAGGAACCACCATCCGCCCCTGGACTTCTCCAAGCGTGAGGCTGAGTTTTGCTCTCAACCCAGCCTGAGGTTCAATAGCTCAAGTGTTCAGCAGAGCAGGGAGGTGATTGCATTTGCCTTTGCAGGGTACCTGGGATAATAGGGTAATTCATAACTTAATAAATATTCTACTGCACATGTGCCAGGCTACAAAGAGCAAAGTAGGCTGCAAATTGGAAACGTAAATGTCTAGCTCTTTTCAAGTTACTCCCCCCACAAGGGTGGAGGGAAAATCAGTTTTATTTTCAAGCCATGTATTTTTCTCAACCACTTACTATGAAAATGGGAAAAGGATTTCGATTCAGATATGGCACAAATGAAGCTGCTCCCAGAGACAAGTAAAGAAAGTTGCACCTGAACAGAGACTGTAAAAAAGATAAATGTAAATAAGGGAACTGATAGGCTGGGGAAGCTGGGTTTTTTTTAATAGTAGTTAATACTACATATGATATAATACAGGAAGTTTAGGGAGATATCATATACTTTTTCCACATCCTTGTTTTTCTCTTATCTGACAGTTCTAATAAGATATTTTACAGATAACACAAAAGCCACGTGCAAAACTTTTGAAGGAATGTATCGTTGCACTGACATGCCAGTAGATGAATGTCATCCAGATTTCTCTTCGTTAAGAAAGTGACAGAACTCCAGACCTCCCTTAAAGTTATCAATCCTTGTATAGCTTTTGAGACTGAAATGAATGCTAGTAGATGTTTTCTGATTTAAAGGGGAAAAAAGGATATTCTTAAAGGGGAAAAAGGGTATTCCTAAAGTTTAATTAATCTTTTTTGCCAAAAGCTGACTTTCAGAGGAAATGTTAGTTTTTTTAAAAAACGTTTTCATACTTGCATAGTTTGTTTAAAAAGTTGTATACTGAATTGCAAACAGCATTTGAAAAAGTGTCCTGATCATAAAAATTAGCACTACCTGACCAATCATAGAAAAAGGGCCATTTGCACAGGGCAACAAGGGAGGTGGCTGGAGAAGGAAAGGAGTCAAGCCAGAAACAGGGAGAGGGGAGACACTCCAAATCCCAAACCTATTTGCTACAAGCATGTGAATCAGTGAAGCTCTCACTGAAAAATAACTTTATTCTGGCACGTGACTTTCTGTGTTGTATGCTAGAGATACCTGCCCACTGGGCTGTCAGAACCCTGTATGACTTAAACTAAGGTCTTGAACTAGTGCTTAAAATTAGCCAAGGCCACTGATTCAGTTCAGAGTGGTCACCCATTACCACCAGGTCGTAGTAGTCCCATTTAGTTAAAAGAAGCATAACCTTCCACTCTCAGCCCCAGCCCTCCAAAAACGCAAGTGCTCTTGAAAAACTGTCTAATTTTAAATGTTCTGCAAACCATTACCTGTCCCTAAACTGCCTGAGAGTGCTACACTTTAATAGCACCAATGACTTAGCAAAGTAGATTTCTTTGCTGGAAAAGAAATTTCCTTTATGTACAGAAGATTTTAAGAGTAAAAAGCTACACTTCCTTTATCAAAGGTGTATTGTTGGTTTTGTTTTGTTTGTGTTTAGGAAAGATGAGAATCAATCCCTAGGTATTAGCATAAGCATTTGTGCCCACCAGAACAAAGTTATTGGCTCTACCTTACACCAGGAATAAGAGTGTATGAGAATCAGTTGTTCCTTTAAATACATAAGGGACTCTCAAAAAGGAAATATACCTGCTCTGATGTGGTAAGGGGTTATTGATAGGATGAAGTACCTGCTGGGTGCTCTCAGAAACATCTTCCAACAGTCATTCATAATGAATATTTTTTTAACATGTGTGTTTTGTATTTAAAAGAAAACCATAATACTGAAAAAAATTACAGGTATTGATATTTCTGGAATTTTTTCAAGAGGCATGGCTACCATACTCAAACCCACGTTCTGTGTATACCATGATACTTATTTTTATTTGCCTAAAAACTGAATGCTTGAACATAACCCTCTTAAATGCTAATACTATTTTTTCCTTGGTTTTAAGCCTGTGGACAGTACTGCTTCCCTTGATCTGCATCTGGAAAACCTGTTGCTAGGGTTTTCACTGTGCACAGAGGCAGGAGTGTTGGAAGTGCACTTGTGTGCATTTACATATAATTGCTGTTACATCATTTAAGTGATTGTGGCAGGGGAAAAAGGCTTCTGTTTTATATAATTTCCAAAACTTATTCCACATTTACAACGATGTTATATAGTCTGGTGTGAAAGGACATGTACAAGCCCAGTTTTCATTACCAGTAAGAACTTCTGACATATATTTAGGTGAAAGACAAGTTTAATAGACTTGCTGTACTCTCCTAGTAAGTTATTCTCTTAAATAAAACTTCTGGGTCTTCCATGAGATGACATTACAGACTCTACTGTTGTTGATCCTGCTCCCCTACCACAACCTCAG